TCTCTCTCTATCTATCTCTATCTCTCTCTGTCTTTGTTAATGTCTCTCTCTCTCTTTCTCTCTCTCTCTCTGTCTGTGTTAATGTCTCTCTCTCATTTACAGGTCCTGTGCTCGGCGGTCTCTGAACAGACTCTCCTGAAAACTGTTACTCAGATTTTCTTGGAGGCGGAGTCAGCTCGCCTCGCCAACGACTCCAACTGCTGCCAACAACATCATCACCTGCTGGATCACCCGTCCGCGTCAGGTCTGATCTCAGTCTACTGTGGTGTATATGTCACCAAGTATGCACTCATATTAACACTTTTCTTCTGGTATATAATATAAAAAGGTCATTTTTACAGTCCTCATGTTTAACGTTATTTAATTTTTTTTATTCTTTATTTTCTAGAATTGGTTGACAATGTATATGTTAAATTATTGAGCATGTAAAGGAATATTTAACTTAAATATTCACTAAATCAGCATTTCTCCTCTAAAGTCGCTATCGGTGTCACATCAGTCGGACTCTGTCTTTATTAATAATGATAATAATAATAATATAATACTGATATTTAATGATTTACAATAACGGATCTGAATGGTCAGAGTAAAAATTGACATTTTGGAGACAACAGTTATATTTCTCTGTGTTGAAGGTCAGCAGTTTCGGTGGAGGCTGACTCCAGGTCAGCTGTTATCAGCTCTGTTCCTGCAGGGAGGTTTTTATCTCGTTACAGTTTGCTTCAGTTAGCAGAGAAACTGATGCAGACTTTTATTCCACTAACTGACGGAGGCTGAAGTAGAGAGATGTCATATCTGTGTGTTGTTTCGTGCAGCTGAAATATTCTTCTGTCCTACCATCAGACCCCAGTGTGTACGATGAGATCATGCAGCCCGTCCTTCACTCCGGTTACCTCTATAAGTCCGGCTCGGTCCACAGAGGAACGCTGTCCAAGAAAACACGAGAAGGTGGGAGGAGGGGAAGGAAGGAGGGAGGGAGTCAGCTGGGTTTAAAGGAGGAATGTTTCTTTGAAGTAAAAAAATAATGAAACAACAAAGAGGCTTTTCAAACATTTCATTTGTACAGAACCAGATTTATAAACCACCAGGAACATTTGCAGTTAATTATTAGGAAAGTAAAGCCTTGTTCACACTTCACATGTCTTGGATCTGGGAGTCTTTGTGGATTTTATTAGTGGTCACACACTACAAGATCTTTCAGAAGGAGTAATCCCAGACTCTTTCGTTTCATCAGGAGTCATTAATAACACCATTCCTAAAGATAAAGATATTTATTTATTATTTCTTTATTTCTTTATAAAGATAGATATGTATATAAATATCTGGCGTCTGCGAGGCCTCAGCGAGTTCTCAGCAAGCCCTCAGATTGCATCTTTGAACAATTCACACATAGGCGATTTGCCTCTGGGGGCATTTGTTAGCGATCTGTAGTGTGAACTCACGAGGAGGAACCTGAACATTCAGATCTAACTAGATGTCTCTTGTTGTTGTTAGACTTCCAGAAGTTCTGGTGTTCGGTGGATCAGTCTCTGCTCTTCTACGAGTCGGATCGATCAGCTGATCCCTGCATGCAGATCAGTGTTAAAGACATTGTGTGTTTGGGCATCAGTCGGCCCGACACCTCCAACAACAACAACGGCTTCATCGACAGGTACAGACACGTCATTTCCATGATAATGTTACATTTACGTTTGATGTGATTTCTGTTCATAAAGGTGAGATATGTGTTTCACTTTTCTCCTTCTCTCAGGTTTCGTTACACCTTCGAGTTGTATTTGACTTCAGAGAAACTTTATCAGTTTGGTTTGGAGACGGCCGACATGCTGCACAGCTGGACCAGATCCATTGGGAAGGTATGAAACTCCAGTGCTGGAATCTTTTCCCCATATAAGTATGAGTCCCAGTAAGAAATGTTTGTGATTAACATCTGAAGATACAACCCAAAATCAGTCGTAATTGAATACTGTGTTTAAGACACATGGTGGGGTTTTATCAATGGCCACAAGGCCATTAATATTACCCTACAGACCTCCGACCTGCATCTACAGCACTGACTTATGCCCTGTATCTACAGCATTAACCTCTGTCCTGTATCTGTCCTGTCCTCTGTAACTTGGTATTATTTCCAGATGGACTCAGTCTAATATTAGTGTCAAATTATTTGACTTAACTAAAACATATGAAATAAAGTTAATATTAATAATATGATTACTGTTACTATATTAATCAAATAGACAGTAAAGACTGACCTGTAGCTATATCTGTCCTGTCTTCTGTAACTTCGTATTATTGGTAGAATTGTATGAAATGTTACACACAGTGGGGCTTTCTGTACAACTTTCCCAAATTAAGTTGCAATTCAATTGAGTATTGAAGAGTTGTGGACAATTAGGTGCATTGGGCCATGCCTTCAAAAGTTCTGTAACCAATTATAGACAAACAATAAGTGATACTCAAACACAAACAAGTCTTTTTTAGCTTCAATTAAATATGCTATGCACAGATTTTTTGGGGGATGATTAGATGAATTATGTGACAAAAGAAGCAAAAAATCAAAATCCAAAATGGTGGAATGTTTTTAAGACACGAAGGGGTGTGACCTATTTTGGTAGAATTGGCATTATCCAAGGAACCCACTGTACAAAACTGTTTATACTACTCCTTTTATGAGTTCACCTTTGCATGTCATAGGTTGTAAACTTATTCTGTACTAACCATCCTGTCCGTCGCCATCAGGCTGCGACCCCCCTCAGCTGTCACTGCCTGCTGACTCGGGAGTTTGAGCGGGTCGGTCTGCTGCGCTACAGAGCCATGTTGGACGCTCAGCAGTGGAAGGAGGCTTACTTTGTTCTGCAGAAGTCCAACCTCTTCATCTGTCCCCGAAACGACGGAGCGGCTGAGGACATCATCAACCTGAACCGTCTGCAGGAACTCAGTCAGTCCTGGTTCTGGTTTTCAACCTATGTCTGACTGGTTTATTCTGTCTGGTTTAATTAAAGCAGTCTCTGTTTGTGTTGAAGGTATAGCCTCCGAGACTGAGAACCATGAGAAGAAAGACATCCTGGTTTTAGTAGAAAAAGGAAGGTGAGATGAAGAGTTTCTCTGCTTAACAAAAAAATAATCTGGTCTTGGTTTTTATTTTCTACATCACTTGGTTTTGTCTCTCCGTCAGGACTCTCCACCTGCAGGGGATCGGCCGGACAGATTTCTCGTTGTGGTACTCGGACATCCAGCGAGCTGCCGGCGGTAAAGGAAACACTCTGAGGGAACAGCAGCTGAGCAGAAATGACATTCCCATCATTGTGGACAGCTGCATCGCCTTCATCACTCAGTATGGTGAGGAAGAGGGGTAAAAGGAGGTAGAAAGAGAAGTTTTACAGGTCTACAACTTTCAGCCGCTTATGGTTTATTTTCATCACTGCATTCTACCTGCTCTGCTCAATGCCAAGCACTGATCGATCCTTCACCACTTGTAACCATCAACATATAAATAACATCATACATACAGTTTGTCATGTTAATAAGATTAAATAAGTTCTTGTTTTATCAGGTTTATGCACAATTTTTGGTTTCACAGTAAAAACCTACCACTGCCTTCACATGAACATGCCTTTATTGTGAAGCACATGCAGGAAGTGGCATCAGTGTAACAAAGCAAAAAGTTTTATTCACAAATGGAATATTCAGCACCACTAGATGTCGCACTAGAGCACCAGCATTTCAGACCAAAAGAAATGGCTGCTACGTCCCACCAGACTCCATTGACAAAACCAGTGATTTTGCCTTGCAGATAATCATAAAATACACTTCAGACTGGACAGAAACAAAATAAATAATAATAAAATAAATCCTTAATTAACCGACGCAGATGATAAAAACAGCAGTTTAAGTCGGAGCTGACTGGCTATGGAAACAAACCACGAGAGGCTGCGATACAACACAGGCAAAGGGAGTGAGACACCAAGAGACCCTGTATCTTTATATAGAGAATAGTTGTTTGTTGCTACATTAATGTTTTAAATCCCAAATATAAGTATATAGTATAAATATCAGCACTGATACTGAGTCAGCAGGTGAGTCCTGTATCTGATGTCTCATAAAACTTAACCAAACCCCCAAAATCTGAGTGCAGCTTCATTAGAGCTCAGTGAGATCAGATATTTGTGTACCTGAGTGACGTTCTGAGCATGCTCTGTAGGTCTGGGCCACGAGGGGATCTACAGGAAGAACGGGGCCAAATCCAGGATCAAACTCCTGATGGAAGAGTTTCGCAAAGATGCTCGAAACGTCAAACTGCGGATCGGAGACCACTTCATCGAGGATGTGACGGACGTCCTGAAGAGGTTCTTCAGAGAGGTGGACGACCCCATCTTCATGGCCGACCTTCACCCGCTGTGGCAGGGGGCCGCCAGTGAGTATATCTTCCTTTAGTCGTTAAAAGTCAGTGACAGATAAATGTACAGTATGTTCTGCTACAGAGTGATGGAAGTGGTTTAATTCCCTGTTGGATCTCCCATTAACCCCAATAACATAAATCCTAATAAACTTACTTGTGGTGAAATCCAGTGTATTTAGGTCCAGGTTTTATAGCCGGGGTCCTCACACAGAAAGAAATTGTCATTTTCTGAAACATTGTCAGTTCAAAATCAGGTTTAAAAGCAATTTTGATAAAACTAGAGATTGGTGTTCAATGTGTTTTTAGACCTCCAAGTCTGTCCTGTTTTCCTCTTCAGAAATCCCTCAGAAGAGACAGAGGTTGGATCGCTACAAAGAGATCATCCGGAGTCTTCCTCGAGTCAACAGGACCACTCTAGCTGCTCTCATCAGTCACCTGTACAGGTGAGCTCACACTAACAGACCTGCCACTCTGGGGGCTGTTTCACCTACACAAGATCGTTTCCCCTCAAGCAAAGACCAAACAAAACACCAAACAAAGACCCTGCATGTGTCCCGAACATAAGTATGTCCTGTAGTACTCTCAAATGTACTGGATTTCCTCAAATAGTGTCCGGGCTTTTATTTACCTCAACTTGTTTCATTCACCCTGTATGATATTATTTTGTTAATATTTGGATATGTTAGTACAAAGTCACCTTGTTTTCTGATTTGCTCCCATTTGCCCTGTTAAAGTTTCAAATTAAAAGCGCTCTAGGATTGCCTGAATAGCTCACCTGGTAGAGCCCCATGTATCAAGGCTGAGTCCTTGCTGAACCGGCACAGGATTCAAATCCAACCTGCAGCCCCTTGCTGCGCGTTATCCCTTCTCCCCCCTTTCCTGTCTATCTTCAGCTGTCACTATCCATTAAAGACAATACAACCCCAAAAAATATTTATATAAAAATGCTCTCTAGCATTTCAGACGACAGAATCCCTTCATTTTATAACAAGACTTTTATTGTGAAAAATTTGCAGGAATGTGTTTGAGTGGCTTGCATGGCTCCCATATGGTACTTTAAATGTTGCTAATGCCACATTGTTGCACATTACTACAAAATACTGTTTGGCTGAGACATTAACCGACTGAAATGTACTTTAGATGAGCAATCTAAACAAGGTGTTACATAGTTAATAAATCTATAAAATGTAATAAAATGTGTATAATGTTTGACTGGGGCACAATCAGACACAGCGCAGTCTTTGCAGTGAGGTGTCTTTTTCCAGTTGTCTGTTTCCAGTTTCTGTAGGCAGTAAGCGGTTTGCGTGCTGCTACTGCGCCCTGGACGCCTCATGTTTCGAAACTTTGAGTGCCTCCAGTTAAAATAGCTTGAACTCATTGCACCCATTTGTGTTTTTCCACATTGTCCAATCAGATGAACTGAGAATGACAAAAAAGTTGCTTTCCCAAATCTACATAATTTTACCAACTGTGTCACCATAATCTGTACAGAGTGTAGCGCCCGCAAAGTCAGAATCACATTGCTACACACCTTTCCATTAAAACACACCTCCATTCATGGCTTCCT